GGGCAATCCTAGCCTTCCATTCAAAATGGATGGTTGGAAAAGGGGAAGTATATAAGTTTTATGTGGTAAGGGAAGCATAGAAAGCTTATCCTTCATAAAATATAGACATTTTCAAATTACATTTTATTAGATGGACTCGAAATCGTTTTATTTTTCCTATAGTCATACATCTCGATATCGAAATGACCAATTAGACAGTCTATCAACAACAAATCAATATTTTTTGGAAAAATTTCATACAGAACCCTAATTCTCCATCTTATTTAATGGTAAACCCTTATTCTATTTTTCTTTCAAGTACCGTAAAAAAATCCCTAAGGATTTCATCGTAACTCTTACACTTTATTTATCTTATTTATTCACTTTTGACTATAAAAATTAACCCCAACAAACTTTTTAATACCATTTCAACTCAATATGAGAGAGAAATAAGGAGCCCTCAACGTAGCATTGAAACGGCTGAAAAGGTAAAAATATAATAAGAAATTATTTTTGAAATATTTTTGGGTTAAAAGATATAATGGTTGGGGTTAAAAAAGTTTTTGAAATAATGTTGAAACATTTTTATAATATTTTTGGATTGAAATGATATAAAAGGATTTGTTGAAAATCTAAATATTAATTTTGAAGGTAAAAAATGTTGAAACTTATTAATTTTTATGATCAAAAGTGAATAAAGGAGGGAGATAAAAAAAAGACACGGCACTAAGAAATTTTTAAAGCTTTTTTTATGGCGCTTAAACAAAAATGGAAAGAAACCATTTTTAGGGTTGTCAATGAATTTTTTTTTAAAATTATCCCTATTTTTTGGATTGATTTTTGAGGTGCATCTTAATTCTTCATCCTTAAGTATATAAACTTTTTCCGTAAAATATTTAATCTCAAACTCAACCTTAACAAAACTTGCAATTGCCTCTCTCTCTCTCTCTCTCTCTCTCTGAAATCCAAACGATCGGCAACTATCTTCAAAATCGGCGATTCGCAGCCATCTTTCGATGCATTGATTCGCAGCAGATGGAATCAAGTTCTGCAATTTAGGGTTTAAAGGTGCGTAATTAGTGTTTAGAGACAGAAGCCATGATCTCCACGAAACTTTGGTGTTTCTTTCATATTTTAAGTATTTTCTGTTATGTTTTTAGGAAATTTTCATGGTTTTATAATCTGTCTCTCTCTCTCTCGAAAATGGCGCTCTACCTTGGTTTTTCACAGCTGAAATATTTATAAAGGTGGTGTTTTTTGTTCAGGGAAGTGAATTTTCAGCCATTACAGGGAGGTAATTCTTCATGTGACTTCAATTTCTCATCTATTTTGGTTTCTCTCCATCTCCATTCATGGTTTTGATGTAGTTCCTTCTGATCTGACTGAAACAGGCATCTTCTCCCTGTTTGATCTGTAATTTGGCTGAATTTTGTGATTTGCTTATATAATCATATTTAATGACTTGTTGAGTTGTGGGCGATCTGGTCTGAAAATGTTTATTATTATGTAAAGTGATTAGTTGATGCGTATATTGTCTCTCGGTTTTTGGTTGTATTTTTTGGTATTTGTATGATGAAATTAAGGAGAGATGCTTATAAGCATTTGGGGCTATAGAAAAATTATTGGAGAATAAATGGGAGTGTCTTCTATGAACGAGGACTTAGAATCATGAGGAAAATCTAGACAATCAGCGAGAAGAGAGAGAGAGGAGAAACCTAGAGGAGGGAGATAAACAGGAGAGATATGGAGGTCGCACGAGATTAGGGCAAAGAGAGAGAAGAAGACAAAGAAGGGGAGGTAGAATTAGTGATAGAAGAGAGGTTTGGGGAAAAATGTTGCAACTGTGAATGGGGAGAGAAAGTTGAAGAAGGGAATAGAGCTCTGAAGAAGAAGCATACACAAGCTCTCTCTCTCTCTAGCTCCTGTCCCAGTCCAAGCTAAACCTAATAGAACTCTAGGAAGAATTGACATTTCCCACACATCTAATTTATTCAAGAGCATTGAACAGTGCAGTTATAGTCCCTCCACTTGATTATCAAATTTCCATCACGATCAATGTTCTCTCTCTCTCTTCACATGATCAAGAACCCTAATTTTTCCTGACTGCATCATGAGCAGCGTGGATTCCTTTAAAAGGCTGGTGAAGCTCGCAGCTCGAGCATTTTATGATGACATTAGTACCAAGGGTGATAACCAGCCAAAGACAGGCAGAAGTGACAATAGAGGCATGGCTGTAGTTGTTCTTGATGCTTTAACCAGGCGCCAATCGGTCAAAGAAGAAGACTTAGCAAAGGATCTGAAGCTGCACTCAAAACAACTTCGTCGTACTTCACGATTTTTTGAGGAAGAGAAGTTCGCCATGAGGGATCATTGTAGAGAGACAGCAAAAAGTGCAAAAGTTTACAATGCCGCACTTGCTGCCACAGGTGATGGCCAGCTAAATGGAAACAGCGAAGAAAAGATGAAGATGAATACCCACTCATACTGCTGTTTAGACTATGCTCAGATATATGTCATTGTGAGGTACATAATTCATCGCATGAAAAAAAAGCTTAAAGATGATATGGAGGACAAGAATACCATCCAGAAATATGAATGTCCTAATTGTAAGCAAAAGGATTTCTCTTTGGATGCACTTCAGTTGATAAACATGCACGACGAAAGTTTCCATTGTGAAAATTGCAATGCTGAACTTGTCGCTGAGAGTGACAAGACAGCTGTTGAGGAAATGGGTGATGGAGATGACAATGCAAGGCAGAGGATGTGGGAAAAATTGAGGGAAGAATTGAGGTTGAGCTGAAGCCATTGATGGACAAGTAGGCAAGAGTGAAAGACCTGCCTGCTCCTGAATTTGGAACTTTTCAAGCTTGGGAAGCAAGGGCTATTGCAGCAGGTCGTGCGGCTAATGGTGATTCGGCTCTTAATGACTCATCAACAGCTGCTCAAGGGCAGTGATATGGTGGAACTCCAATGCCTTTCCTTGGGGAAACCAGGGTTGAGGTTGCTTTAGCTGGTGTAGAAGTAAAGGAAGAGGATTCAAAGCCTGATTCTGCGGCCACTGTGCACAAGGTTCTTCCTTCTTGGATGATACAGCAAGGAATGAACCTCACAAATGAGCAGCGAGGGGAAGTCAAGCAAGAAATAAAGACAGAATGCTTCAATGGCTCATCCATTTGAAAAGAAAAAGCCAAAAGAGGAGGAGAAACAGAACGCTCAAACAGATATACAGGAAGAGTATCTTAAGGCATATTAGCAAGAGGAGCAAGCTGCTGCTGCTTACAGTGTGGCCTCCACTTCCAATGTCATAAATGGTGTTTCTGAGACACAGACCGAGCGCTGGGTTGGCATGAAGGTGAAACAAGAATACAATGAAGATGAAGATTATGTAGAATGGAAAGAAGCTACATCTTCAAGGGTTTCCTCTGCAGCTCCCAAAATAAATGATCTGAATGAGGAAGCCGATGCATTCAAGGACGATGATGATGAAGATGAGATAGACTGGCAGGAGGGCTAATAGATACACGCACAAGCACATACCCCTCTTGGTTTGTGTAATTGCTGAGATGAGTTTTAGTTTGTGTTTTAGAGGAATGATAATGGAAAAGAGCACTCTTTTCTCTGTTATCAATGTAATTCGCCTAGTCTTTAAATATATAGTGGCCTCTTTGTGACATTGAGGCAATGAGTACTCTTTTCTCTCTTTCTCCCTCCCTCTCTCTCT